TATGGCTCAAGTCAAATCGAGTTAGTAGTCTTCTCAGCAACAGGGACAGCAAATCGGATAATAACAATAATTGGCCAACACACCGGCTGCCCTTACAAAGATGCGTTTTTTGCATAGTTCCCCACGGATTTTTGTCGCTAACGGCACCGGTTTTTCCAGCAAATGCTTCCAGCTAAACAAATTAAAACTGGCCACCAGAACTGTCAGGAAACACCCTCTTAAAATTTTAGCTTTCTAACTTTTTGGCTTCCGAGCAACTTACCCGAAAAAAACTTTCGCGGGCCCATCCTTGGGCTCGTACGTGGATATCACGCATACTCGGAGGCTGGGTTTGAGCTCACTAATACCCACTTGGATGGGGAATATCTCCTTAAGACTCCAATCCTCTAGCTTCTCAGGTTCCCGAGTTAGCAGCTTGCCCATAAAAGACTTTGGCGGGTCCGTACGTGGGTACTACGCGAGTGCTGATTTCGGAGATGTTGGCTCATACACGCATGTAGATCAAGTTGCCAAAGTTTCAGCCCTGTAGCTTTCGTGGGTCTCGAGATGAAAAGTCGGTACAGATGAACACACAGGCAGCCCATCGTCAGTATGCGTTTTCTGCACTGCACAGATGCAAAAAACGCATAAAAAGGGCTTCACTGCTCCATTTTCGTGCTGGAAAGGCATTGCTGTTTAATTTTTATTGAAACTGCAGCTAGAGGCAACCCCGTTCTACTGGAAATGGCTAAGTCGAAGTCATTTTTGACTAGCTATGTTTATTTTTAGCAAGCTGAAGTCGAAGTACAATGTGACAGGCATACCAATGCTGATTGTGGTCAAACCAAATGGCGATATTATCACAAAAAATGGTCGCGCTGATGTTTCGGTAAATTTACATTGAAATGCTCCAACTTTTACATTCCCAAATCTTACGGGTTTTGAAAAAAATTAGAGTAGTAGGTGCACCTTATTACGGACAGAATCCAAAACGCTGATCTGATCCTTGTCTGGCATCACTGCCCAGTACATCACGCCCAGTACACGGCAGTCAAACTTGTACATACAGGCTCGCTTATCTGGATGGTCTAAATTGGCACTTTCTGCTTTCCCACAACTGTCAAAATTCGACTGTGTTTCTCTCAACGGCGGGTCGACAGTGCCAAACAAACTATGTATTTTAACAAATAGAAGACTTTAGGCCCCCGACTTCTTCCAGTCCTCTAGCCAGAGATATTCATAGTTTGTATTTTAAAAATTTCTAAAACACTTGTCATTATTTATTTGTTATTAGATGTTCTGGGCTTAAATCAGAAGATATACATAGAGTGTGTATTAGGATGCATTGGGGTGTTCTTCGATGGTAAGCAACGATCGACATTTTACAAGTAGCCTTAGAGGAGAAGCAATGCTGCTGAAGTATCTAGGCCTAGCAGAGCTTGATGGGTACGTTTTCTAACTTCCAAGAGTTCTCAAACATTCAGGCTGACAGGGCAGATGGATTGACATATTCTGAACATTATTGATTTTAACAAGTCCTCATGGGGCCTTTACTGCCCGTACTGCCTTTCTTACTTTAACAAACAACAGTCAGTGCTTGAATAATTCAGGGTAAAGCACCGTCACAAACTCTGGCAAATTGGGTTGCTGCTGCATGATCATTATTGCTGAAGTGAACACAAATTTCTTCTCTTTTTGGTTATTTATTATCTTTTTTGGCTCATTTGAAATGTTATGATGGGTAAAATTTATCCAAATTTTTATCCAAAACAAAAGTTTATC